CGGCCTCGGGGCGCACGCAGCTGGTCCCTTTCGCAGGCTGTGCCACGGGCCAGGCCAGGAGCTCGGCATCGCTCGGACGTGTGCATTTTTTCTCGGCGAGAGCCGTCGAGGACCATCCTGGACCATCGAGCACAAAAAACGCGCACGAAGCAGAAAAAATGCACGGGAAAAGGACGTCCGAGCGACGGCAAGGGCCAGGCCAGGAGGGTGACGAGCAGCGCTATCCTTCAGGCACCACGCGAGGTGGCTGCCGAGGGCGCGCCAGGAAAACCAGGTCTCCGACGGCACTGCTTGGGCCCCCACGTCTGTGGACCCTTCCTCGGAGCCAGTGTCCTCGCATGCTCAGTGTCCTCGCATGCTCAGTCCTTCGGGCGTTCCGTAATGGCGCAGCGGCTGCAATGGATCAGAGGGGGAGGAAAGGCGCATCTCGTGTGCCCTCAAGGGGCCCCAAAGGGGCCCCTCAGCCCAGAAGGGCACGAACGGTGTACGTCTCTCCTCCCCTCCCCTTGATCGCCCTCCATTAATTGACGCCCAAGCCCCCCGCGACAAGACCTGGCCAACCACGCGCAGCGAGGGGTAGGGGGAGGGGCAACGCCTCTTAGGAGCCCCCCCGCTCCGTCGGATATAGCCAGGACCCCAGGTAAGGGGATCCGGTTAGTGGTAGGGCCTCGGAGCCCCTAATTTGGCCAGAATCACTAAACCAGGTCTGCCGTGGCTCGTGTTTTTTTCGGGTGACGGCAGTTCCAGTTTGTGGAACGGGGCGGAAGGGCGTCCCCCAGTACACATCCCTAAACCAGGTCCTACTAAACCCAGTTCTATCAACGCCCGATCCGTAGAAGGTGCAGCCTGGTCTACCGATGTGAGGCCGACGCATTCTAGGAAGCAGGAAGCAGCCTCCTTCTGAGAAGCCCGCCTCCCTCCTCGCCATAGGGACAGTGATTTCTGAGGGAATCGGGTCCCGAGGCTCTTCGCCGTCTTCGGGTCCTCGGGGCCCTCCACGGGCCGGGCCCGGGGACCTGTCAGGAGACGTCTCGGGATGAGGATTTCGTCCTGGGGGAAGGCCCCGTAGGGTCCAGGACCCGTTTCCCTGAGGGCCCGTCTCCCCCATGCCAGGGGTAAGTCGGGCCTGTCCCTCTACAGGAGGAACATCCAAGAGAAGAGCTTAAGCATAGCCTGGCGACCCAGTTCGGTGTTTGTTGTTTTTGATGTTTTGATATGGTCTGCATTGGCTTATTTCAAAATCTGTCTGTAGGAGGATCTGCCTGACCTAATGCGACTTGGCATCGCCCGGACGTGTGCACTTTTTTTCTCGGCGGGGATTATTAGAGAGCTCCTGGATCATCTTGCGAAAAAACCACGCTCCCTGGATATGTTACAATGAAGAAACAAGTATAACAAAAAGAACAAACAAACTATGTTTCGATATGTTCTGCACTTGTTTCCTCCAAAACCCGTCTGCAGGAGGTTCTGCCCGACCTCCTGCGAGGGAGAGGAGCCCACGATGGCGGCATCCTTGGATCGGAAACTGGCCGAGGGCTGCTAAAACCGTGGCTGCTAAAACGGCCCTCCCGGGAGGAAAACACAACTTCCCGGAATGAGGCGCGATTTTAGCAGCCACGGAGGCCGATTTTGGCAGCCGCGGATTCAGCAGCCGCGAAGGACGAAGACAACTTCCCGGAGGTCGATTTCAGCAGCCGCGGATTTGGCAGCCCTTGCGCCCAGCTTCCGAGTGGGGCCGAGGGCGCGGCTCCCGCGCCGCGCCCGGGCGGGCACGCGCGGGCTCTCCGCTCCCCGGGCCCCAGGGACACTGCAGGGTTCGGGTGTGTGTTTTGTGTTTTTATTTTTTTTGTTTTTTTAGTTGTCTTATACTTTTATGTTTTATAATTTTTTTCTTAATATATAGTTTTTTCATATTTTTTGTTCTGTTTTTGTTTTTTTATTCTTTTATTTTTATAATGATTCCTTTCCCGATCTTTTCTTTTCGATCATTTTATATTTTTTTATTTTTTTTTTCCTTTTTTGCAGGTCGGGAGCTGCCAGAGAAGTCTTCGGGGGCCCCCAGAGCGGAGTGGTGACCAGCGGGGGGGGGGGGGCGGGCAATCGGGGGCGGCAGAGAGGGGGGTGATGACTTGGGGGGGGGATGTCATGGCGGGGGCCATGATATCTCCCCAGACTTGGTGGCGCCTCTTCTTGTTTCAATACGTCCCTGGCCCCCCCGCTGGGCCGCGCACATGCTGCCCCGCCGGTCATGATTTACACCCCGCCCCCCTTGGACACGTCGGGTGCTGCCAGAAGTCTTCGGGGGCCCCCAGACGGGGCGGTGACCACCACCGTGCGTTGAGTCGGGGGGGGGTAAGGCCCACGACCAGTGTCGGGGATTGGGTATACAGTGGGGGCGCACATGAAGAAACCACATGCTTTCGCCAGGATACCCTGGGTTTCTTCACTCCTCGCGCTGCGCGGCGACTTCCCGCCGCCGTTGAAGGAGCTGCTGCGTTCAGGGTGCTCCAGGTTTCCCTTCAGGTGCACCTCGCGCACGGGTTCTCAGGGTTGGGTTTCTCGCGAGGGTTTCTTGCGGCCGCGCCCGCACTGTATAGGTTGTTCGCAGTTTTCGGCATCAGACGCAGACTCGGGACGAGAAGCCACCCAGGACGGACCTCCGGAGGGGTCCGGGGACCGATCATGAGCGGATTCTCGGGGGCCCCCAGACGGGGTGGTGACCACACCGTGCGGTGAGTCGGTGGGGATTCGGGGTCACCGCACGGTTTCGGGACTCGAGTCGTTCGCCGAGGACGTCTCGGGCGACAGGGGCCTCCAGGGTCCCAAGACCGTGCGGTGACGGACCGTGCGGTGAGGTCTCTTGGGGGATTTCGAGGTCACCGCACGGTCGGTCACCGCACCGTTTCGGGACTCCAAAGAAGTGCCCCTGGCCCAAGGCGCCCCCAGCTTTTCTCTCCGCTGTGGAGCCCCTGCTGCCTTGCAGGCCTCGCGAGGGGTGCTCTCGAGGCCGCGGGGGCCTCCCTGGAAATCCTGGGGGGCACCCTGGGCCAGGGGCTTTTCTGGCAGCACCCGACCATGCCAGCCTCCCCTTGCAGTCGGGCCGCTGAAGAAGGAACCCTTTCCGTTGGGGAGGGGCTCAGCGTTCCTTCTTGATCGTTGTACAGCTTGTTCTAGGATGTCCTTAGGTGTCCTTAGGTGTTCGATAGGAAATCGAAGTTGAACTTATGGAGACAAGGGGCCTCAACCTGCATAGTGAGGATGGGCAGCCTTCCCAAGTCTACCCTTGCACCCTTGCCGCTTCGGCCCATCCTTGACGGCTTTCGCTGGCCGACCTCCGTCGAAAAACGTGAGCATGGCCCTCCAGTGCCCCTGCCTCCGAACCGCGCATCCTTGCGAGACGGGTCGACGGCTGCATCTCGGGTTCCTTCTCTATGGCAGCGCCTCGACTGCACATCCCCTGTGCGCGCCGCCAGTGCGCGCAGGCAGCCCCTGCATGATGGGCTTGTTTTCCACCACCACCACAACCATAAGTTGGAGAGGGAGGGGGTCCTCCTCCTCCCCCCCCCCCTCCTCCTTCTCCTCCTCCTCCTCCTCCTCGTCCTCCTCCTCATCATCCTCCTTCTCCTCCTCCTCCTCCTCCTCCTCCTCCTCCTCCTCCTCCTCCTCCCTCTCCTACCTATGGTAGTGGTCGTGGAAAATCGGCCCATCGGAACAAGTTCAGGGGGGTCGGAGAGAAGGAAACTTAGAGGTTCGAGCTTCGAGGTTTTCGACCTTCGCGAGGTTTTCGGGCGTTTTCGTCGGTTGGCGGAAGTTCTCCACCAGCAACTTCGGTATGCTCTCCGGCAGCTGCGCTTGGCCGAGAGCGTTCCCGGGGTGCCCGGATCGTCCCGAACGGCCGCTGGAGAACCCAGTCGTCAGGGGATACAGTCGGGGCGCTGGAGAAGGAACCCTTTTCGTTGGGGAGGGGCTTGGTGTTTCTTGATTGGTTTACAGTTTGCCTCAGGTTTTCCTGAGGTTTGCCATGGGACATCGAAGCTTTCTTTATGGGGAAAATGGGCCTCTTGTAGGTTCAGGAGGGAAACACATCGACCTCTAAAAGCCCATGCATCGCCGATGTGGGGCGAACTAGCCCGCCCCGCCCCGCCCAAGACCGTGCGGATTCGCTGTCGTGGGCCTGTCGCCGATCTATCGTCGGTGTGTCGCCGATTCCAGGTCGATGTTGCTCCTCCTGAGCTGGTACTGCCCTAGCGCCGCCCCTCTAGAGTGGTGAGAGCGCCCCACGCTGCCCTGGGAGCCCGGCCTGATTCCAAGGGCTTTCTGTGTACAGTTTGTCTCAGTCTCATTTCATTTCCCTCAAACATCGAGCCCCAGGCTCTGCAGGTCCCGATCCTCCCCCCCTCGAGATCCATTCGGTGCTCTCATATCCAGCCGGACGTTTTTTTGCGAGGCCACGGACTCGCACCGATCCGCCCTTGCACGGGGCCGAAGCGATCGCGCACACGGGCCTTCCAACTCGGATTCCGATTGCCTCTTCCCTCCTCCTCCTCCTCCTCCTCCTCCTCCTCCTCCTCCTCCTTCTCATCTTCTTCCTCCTCCTCCTCCTCTTCTTCTTCCTTCTGCTCCTCCTTCACCTAGCCCCTCCCCCCACCCATCGCGCGCTCCCGCGCGTGCGGTACCGTGCGGAAGGGGAGGAGGAGAAGGAAGATGAGGGAGAGGATTAGGAGGTGGAGGAGGAGGGACGAGGAAATTGAAGAGGGGAGGGAAGAGGTTGAGAATGGAACGGAGGAGGAGGAGGATGAGGAGGAGGAGGAAGAGGAGGAGGAGGAGGAGGAAGAGGAGGAAGGAGGAATGAGGAAGGAGGAAGGAGGAGGGAGCAAGGGGAAAGGAGGAGGAGGAGAGGAGTGAGGAGGGGGAGGAGGAGGAGGAGTGAGGAGGGGGAGGAGGAGGAGGAGGAGGAGGGAGGGTGCAGGGCGAGGTGGACGAGGGGTGCCTCCCCCGGCGAGGGTATTCCCATGGGCCTTCACCGCGGCCTGCTGCGTCCTGTTTGCGGTGCCCGCGTGGGCCGAGCTGAGCCTGGCCCGCGACGAGGCGGTGCCCCCCGCAGGGCGGGATGGGGGCCGAGGCGACGACGGCCCCGGCCGCGACGGCGCCCACGACCAGGGTCGCGGATATCCAGGGGCGCCGCCCCGCAATTCCGCCACCGCGCTCGGGCGGGCGCCTGGGGGGGTTGGGGGGTAAGGCCCGCTAGGGGGGGGGGGGGGATAAGGCCCGCGACCAGGGTCGGGGATTGAGTATAGGTTGTTCGCAGTTTTCGGCCTCTGGAGGCCCGCTTCAGGCCCCAGGGCCGTCAGCAATAGGCTCGGGACGAGAAGCCACCCAGGATGGACCTCTGCAGGGGTCCGGGGACCGATCATGAGCGGATTCGGACTACAGTCGGCCCGGATTAGTAGGTCGACCTTGCCAGCTCAAGGGTACCCTTGTGTCTTGTGCCTCGCCACACGTGCCTTCTTACACTCCTATGGCGATGTGGCCCTCGGAAGGGTCTTGTGTCCTCTCGCGTGTCCTGTCCAATCAAGGCCGACTGTACTGCAGGTTCGTGTCGTGGCGTCGCGGTGGCAACCCCGCGTCCCCTCACACGTGTCGCGGCCCCACGACAGCGACGACTCAGGAGGGGAAAAAACACACAGACACAATTAATCGTCGACTCCCAGGAAAATATTGGAAAATATGGGAAGTGGGGGCGAAGACAGAAACCCAGAACATATGGGAAACTATGGGGAATCCTGTCATTTGTGTGTATCTATTTGTGTGTCCCAGGGCCCCTTCAGTGACGATGGAGACGGCGTCGCCGACGACGACGGGCCGCGGCCCACGCGCCCACAGGCCCTGTCGTACTTCAGGTCGGACAGGACGGCGCCGCCGCGCTCCTCTGCGCGGCACCCGGGGTCGTCGGCGGGTCTTGGGGGGGTGGACTTCTGGGGGAGGCGTGTGGGGAGACTACACGTAATGCGGAGGTGGATAGACCTCCTACCCTGACACGTCGATTAAGGAATTGGCCGTTTTCGGTTCGCGAGAGGGCGTCGCGGCCGTCACTTTTTGGCGGGTCCAGGTCCTGGGTCGTCGGCGGGCCTGGGCCATTTTCGCGGCCCTCTGCGCGGCACCCGGGGTCGTCGGCGGACCTGGGGGGGGACTTCTGGTCAGCACGAACGAGATGGGTACGGAAAGAATGGGCACAACGCCCAACAGCAGATCCTGTTCATTCTGAGCAGGACTCGGTGTCCACGCCGCCGCGGCCTGTGTCCATTCGAGGCAGAGGGCCGCCTGCCCAACAGCGGCCGCTGTTGGTTTGGGACAACATTTGCTGTTGGGCCTTGTACCCATTTTTCCGTACCCAATTCGGGCGTCCAAATCTGGGGGAGGCGTGTGGGGAGACTACACGTAAGAATTACCTTTCGCTGGCGTGACCTTTGGTGCGGGCCCGTGTCAGGGTCCCCCGATCGCCGAACACGATGCGGCAGTAGTGTTTTGTGCACAGCACCACAGCGCGTCCCCAGCACTGCCGCAGTGCCTCCTGCACCACAGCCTGCGGTGCAGGACCCACACTGCGGGGCGGGGGGCGTCACGTCATGCTCCCAGTCCCGCCCCCGTAGCGCCCGATCTCACCGCCCGAGTAAACACATGTTTTCGAAGAAGGAGCACCACAAGCATAAACGGTCGGACCTCCGAACGTTTTGCGCCTCCTCCCCCATGCAGTCTGGATATCACACTCAGGAGGAGGCGTTTGCGGATCGCGCTCAGGAGGAGGCTTGTGGAGGTATCAAGAGGTATCCGGAGTTTCCCGGAGGCTTTCAGAGATCCATGGGGGCCCCTGGAGGTTTAGCATATGCACCCCCTCTCAGAATGCCCCGTCTCGTTGTTGCAATTTCTCTCCCCGCTGCATCATCAGGCGCAGATGTCTTTCTTTGTCCGTTTGCTCCTCTCTTTCTAATCATCCCTCTCTATCTGTCCCTCTCTCTCTCCATGCTCCGCCCCCTGCCCCTTGCGTTGCTCCACAGCCCCCACTCGTTTTCATGCTTTCCTCGCTTGTCCCGCGTGCTCTCTGCGCGCTGCCTTCCTTCCCCCTCTCTCTCGTCGCCCCGCTCCCCTGTGGCGCTGGCGCCCTCCTCCCACGCCCGATCTCAGGGGCGGAAAAACCACCCGGACCCGATAACTGGCGTCTGCTAAAAAACGCCCCCAGCCCTGCCCCGCTCGATTCCTCCTCTGGGCGCGCTCACTGCACGGCTCCGCTCGTCGGGGCGGCTCCTACGGGGGGGGGACTTTTTCTGCCCTCGACGATCGCCGACCCGAGGATTAAGTCGGGCCTGTCCCTCTACAGGGGAAATGTTCAAAAATAGTTACAATATAGTCGGGGGACTATTTTTGGGTATGTTTGGGCATCTTTGGAGCATTTTTGGTGTATTTTTGATGTTTCGTCCAAAGTCGGCCTGTAGGGGGACAGGCCCGACTTACCCCGAGGACCGACGTGGTGATGATCATCCCCGTGCTCATCTGCGCCACCCACTACGTGCACATGAGGCGCGCGGCCCCCCCCCGCACGCGCGCGCGCCCTGCGCCTGCCCTCGCCGCGCCGGGCCCTGCGGACCGGCGCGTGCGGCGCGCGCGGCCCCCGAGCGCGCTCCTGTACTCGCAAAGCGCCTGCTCGTTGGGCGTTCTCTTTCTGTTGAGGGAGGAGGAGGAGGAGGAGGAGGAGGAGAGGAGGTGGAGGAGGAGGAGGAGGAGGAGGAGGAGGATGAGGAGGATGGTGAGGGAGAAGGAGGAGGAGGAGGGAGAGGAGGGGAGGAGGAGGAGGAGGAGGCGGGTGCCACAGCAGCGCGTGGCCGGCAGGCCAGCGGAGGCGGCTCTTCCCCGGGGGCCCTGAGCGGCGGGGTGGTCAGCGCTAGCGTTGGGGGGGCGATGCTCACCGGGTGCGCTCCGCAGCTCGCGGAGTGTCTGCTCGCAAATGTTCGAAAACTGCTCATTAGCCCCGATGTATTTCACCACCCACCAAACCACCCCAACCCAACCCGAAGGCCTCAATGTGCCCTCCATTTCCAGTGAGGGGGGGGACACCACATATGGAGCCTATACCCCCTCAACCCGAAATTCGGGTCTTCGGGTTGGGTTGGGGTGGTCTGGTAGGTAGTCAGTATATCGTGAATCTCCCGCGGCGGATCGAGGCCATTTGCGAGTAGTTCCTTTGCGAGTGGCGGAACGCGCTTGTCTAGATGAGTGGGAGGGGAGGGGGAAAGGTTCACGTCTCGGGCCCTGAAGGGTTCCTCAAATAGGGGAACGTACAATGATGATTATGTCACTGTTTGCTCCATCGAAAAAGGGGCTCTTCTCGGGCCCTGAAGGGCTCCTGGTGGGGCCCTAGAGGGCCCCTTTTCTGCAGCGCTCGGTGCCCCCCCACTTACCGCCACTCCCCGTGCATCGCGGCCCAACGGCAGGTTCCTGCGGGATCCTGCAAAGCCTGGGGCCTCCGAGAGCCATCTTGGGCGAGAACGGTTCTATGACGCCCCCAAAGAACCTCAGGGCGGGGGGATGCTACCCCTCCCCAGAGGGAAGAGGGCTTCGGAAGAGGAAATGAAATTATCGTTAGACCGCCCGCGTTCAGAGGGCTGGTGCTGTTCGTCGATTGAGAGAGACTGTTGTGCGAAACAGCATGGTGATCACCAGGAAGGAATCCTACGAGCTCGTTCTCTTGGTGGGGACGATGTTGCACGGCATCACTTCCGCATGTCAAACGTGAGTTTCGGCAATCGAGTGGGCCTTCACAGCTTGCCCAGTGTTTAGATACGACATGTATGCACCCAGTGGCAGCAACGGTATCTGGGCCAAGGGGTCAGCACGATAAGCAGTGCACGGTTGCTTCAAACAGGCGACGCATGTGGGGAACATCATTGTTTTGGCATCGCTCGGGCGTGTGTATTTTTCTCGGCGAGGACCATCGAAGAGCCTTTGGGCCATCTCGTGAAAAGATGCACGCACGAAGCCGAACAATGCACGGGGAATGGACGTCCGAGCGATGGCGAGCATTGTACCATGATCCCGAGTTTCTTAATGAGCGTCGGGGTGGCGTCACCCCCGCCGACAGCCCCACATCGACCCCCGTCGCGGGTAGCCACCGCGCGCCGAGGGCGCTCCGACCCGCGTCGCGGCGCGACGACGAGACGAGGTTGACCCCCGTGCATTAAGAAAGCCATCGTATTGCAAACAAAGATAAGGAGGATGGTCAGCAGCGGCGACAGCAGCGGTGTAGGTCAGAGTTGGAGCTGGGAGCGGTGTAGCAGGGCAGTAGCCGCAGGAGGCTTGTGACCAGCTACCACTCGACTCCGTGCAATGTGTTCCCAGCGAGATTGCCGGATGAGGGCGAGCGCGGAGGAAGAGGGAGAGTGAGCGAGGAGGAAGAGGAGGTGGGACGAGGAGCGATGATCAGGGAAGAACGAGGGCGGGAGAGCGAGGAGTTGTGAGGAAACATCAGGAGCGAGGAGGAGGAGGAGGAGGAGGAGGAGCGAGGAGCGAGGAGGAAAATGGAGCGATGGAGGAACGAGGGAGCAACGGAGGAAGGACGGACAAAAGCGAGGGTGGATGAGCAGAAGGTTGACGAAGACAGCGAGGAAGCGGCGACCAGCTGCACGCGCGCCTCTCCAGCACAGGCAGCGTGTTCCGAACAAGCTCGCCGTGATGATCACGCTGATCGTACCCAGCCTGGTGGGACCGTTTCCCTTCCTTTGCAGACGCGAGCTGGCCACAGCTCGAAGGGCCGCTTTCCCCTCGGGAGGCCCGTCGGCTTCCACGCCCTTCATCGATAGATCGCCCGCACGATGGGTTTAACCATGGGTGGAGCAGGGACTCCGCTCCCCCACTTGCGGCCGGCCGGAGGCCCGGGAGCCGAGCAACCGCGTGGCCAATTTCCTTTTTTCCCGATTTCCCACGCCTTGATGCAGGTCACAATCTGCACCGTGGATCCCCAGAGGTCTCGGCTCCCTCCCTGGGACTTCCCCGGAGCTGCGCTTTGCAGGCCCCGAGGCCCGGACACATCAGACGTTTGCCTCTTGAGGTTCTCTTTGGGGCCATGGGTCTTCTCGGGCGGCTCTCACACATGTTGCAGGCCGTCTTGGAGCCCTCTCGGGTTGTCTCGGGGGTCTCCTTGGAGAAATGTGCGACTGGTGTGCCAAATTGGGACTTAAGGAGACTTGGTGTGCGGAATTGCTCATGATGTCAATTGTCTCAGTGCTCCTCAACCGTATCCCTCGTCGTGGTCGCTTGTAGCCTGCACTGCGCTGTTTGTGTTGCTGCCGTTGCTGTTTCCCTCCGCCCTACCTCATCGCCCCTCCCCTTCTCCTCTGTCCCTCCTCCTCCCCGCCCCTCCCCCATCCTGAATCCCTCCCCCTTTCTCCACCTCCTCCCCGCCCCTCTCACTTCTCCTCCCTACCATCCCTCATCATTCGCCTCGAGTCCGACATGGCGTGAATTGGCTTGCTTTGCTTGATGTGCTTGCTTTCTTGCTGCTCGCTCTCTCACACTCTCTCTCGGTCCCTTCATCCGACCGGCCTGCTCCTCCCTCGCCCCCCTCCCGTCCGCCTCCGCACCCATGCATCCTTCCCCTTCCTTCAGCGGCGAGCGAGGGAGGGGGCGCGCGAGAAGGAGACGGCCTTCTCAGAAGGCGGCAGGGCTTCTCAGAAGCCCTGGCACCATCCGAGAGGCTTGTTCTGTCTCTGGGGCAGGTTCAGAAAAAAGACTTCGCGGAAGACCGGGGGACTTCCGAGCCTTCTGAGAAGGCCTCCTCCTTCCCGCTTCCCCCCCTCGCTCGCCGCCCACTACTGCACCACCCTCTTCCCTTCCCCATTTCCTTTTTCCCCGACTCCTCCCCCATCCCTGCCTCCGGCCCTCTCCCTCCCCCCCTGAGCCTTAGGGCTCCCCAGTCCACACTCCCTCTGGGCTCCTTCTCCCGACGACGACCCCCCAGGGCGGACCCCCCCCGCTCTCGCCTCGCCTCCTCGAGCCTCCTGGGACCCCCTGGGCTCCCCAGCGCCAGCATTCCAGCTGCAGTCGAGCTTTGCTGGAGGTGAAGCAGGCTGGAGTGGCGAGACGGAGCTCGACAAGGCCTCGTGTCGGCCCATAGCGCGTCTTGCATGACACAAGTCACAACGGTCTTTGGGCCCACTGGATTGCACGCCCATAAGGCGCAAGAGTCGTCCTCCTTGTGAGCCACACTTAGCTACACCATGTGCATCGTCAGCGATGGTTTCACATAAGGCCTGGGAGGCTTACGCGCTGCCTCTGATGTGGCCTTTTTTTCAACAGCGAGGCTTACAGTTGATGCCTCCACATCGTTACGCTTACATCGCCGAGTGCAGGTTTGTCGCCTACACCTTCGAACAGCTTTGAGTTATTACAACGCCCGCGAATCGAATCACATGTTCATCATGCTGGCATGCTTGTCGCGGTCGGCTCCATCTCACCCGAGGTCGCCCGCAAGTGGCCCAGCTGCCTGGCCAGTCCGTGTAGCTAGTTTTCGCAGACGTTCTGGACGACCTGGCCGTCTTCTGAATGACACCTTCCCACGGTTGGGCACATCGATGCTGAGTGGCTTTGGTTGGTGAATGTGGCCCTTGTCTGCTTCCGGCTGTGATCCCGGCCCCCATGAATGTGTGCAGTCTTTGTCATGCTGCGTATCGGGCGTGTGTTTGAACGACTGGACGTGCTCAGCGCATGGGATGCTTGCTGCCAACCTTTTAGCCCCACAGTGGACGAGCAGTTTTCTCAGCGGCAGGAGAGGGCCTTCGCGCTGACGGGCATCGAGTTTCTTTTGGGGCGCTGAGAGTCAGAGCGCCTTCAGCATGTGCCGTCCGGGAGGCGTGGCTTGGACGACATTGCTTGCAGTTGCGTGTGCTGCCCGTCTTTGCCCCGAGTGGCTGGCAAGGGCGGTGCGCGGCTGCGGGAGACGCTGCTTCGTGCACATGTGCGACACTGCCCGCCCGGAAATCGCGCGGTGCAGGATCCTCCTACTTGTGGTCATCTCGGTGGTTACTCGTTGGAGTTTGCTTTCTGGCTCCGGGCCAGATTGTATCTGCAAGTACCGGCTCCTAGGATCCACTGGGTTTCCTGGGGCCTCCTGGCGCTCTTGAGGGCCTCCTGTGCCCTCGTGGGGCTTCTGTGGCCTCCTGACGCCTCCTGGGCCTTCTGGGGTTTCCTACTCGTCCCCAGTCTCGCTCAATTTATTGTTTTCCGCTGGCCCGCCTGCCTCGCCCCGCCAGCCCTGGCCTCCCGCCTGCGCGTTCGTCGTCTGCTGCTTGCGTTTCGCTTCCTCTCTCCCCCTCCATCGCTGCGCAACGCAGGCTCCTGGGAACTGGCGGCGCGGGAGCCAGCAGCACCAGACGTGGTTTTCGGCGTCCGGGGGCCCTCGCCTCATAACCGATCTGCACGTCAACGCGGTGGTCTTCCAGCGCCACGCAGCGGCGCCAACGTGCGGTCACATGCGGAAACGCAATACGCTTGTGAGATGGGCACAGGCCAAGCCTTTACTGATCCGCAATCCGCCTATGTGTTGCGCACACAGGCTAGAAGTACACAGCGACGCAGCATGTAGAAAACGACAGAAGGGCGCCATCGCGGGACGGGCCCTGCCAGGAGCCAATTTCCTGCGCATGAGCGCCAGGGACACGGATACTCAACAAACGTTCGTTGGCAAGCAAGTGGGCCACTTGTTAGACTGGCAGCGCGTGGCGCTGAAGGCTGCGACACGAAACGCTTTCGCAATTGAGCTGGTGGCCGCAGTGAGCACGACAGATCACGGCCTAGCCTTGGCCACCACACTCCACGAAATGCGCGGGGGACTTCGAGGCCGTGGAGCTGCACGTCGCCAACGAGATGGCCCGCAACCACTCGCACTTCTAACTGATCTTTGCCCCGATTCAATGGAGGTGGCCACAGTCGTCATGCTTGCGCGACCTAAGGCTTCGGCAGACAATCCATTGCTGCCACATGTGCTCTGGTTCCTCGACCTCCTAGGGTCGGGCCCAGACTGGGCCCCGAGCTGGGAAGACACGATATATGATCGCTGATGGACTGGTCAGAGGCAGCATCGATAATTCTGCCTTCCAAGACGTGGCCAGTGGCTCTCGCCAGCGGTAACGCACGCCGCGCACAGTCACCATGTCGGTTGGCAAGCTCACTGTACTATTCAGGCGATGGGCGCCACCCGACCCCCGACAATTAACGATTCTCCACATGCGTCTGTGTACTGCTTTGTGCTCCAGTTTCCTCGAAGCCAACAGTCCTTCCTCATCCTCATCCTTTTCGGAAGGCCAGTTGCGCTGTGCATGGTGGTTGTGAGATATGTTGCAGCACAGCAGCTCGGGGAGAGCATGTTGTCATCGCCGTGTTCCTCTTGCGCTGCGTCACGCCTGCGGCTGCGCATGTGCGCGGACGTACAGGGCGAGGAATCAGCGCAGGTAGTCAGGAGTGAGCGTTTCTGAGACCGCTGTTTTTTCTCAGCAGTAGGCTTGCGCGCCGCCCGGTCGGGGCGCGCTGAACGGCTGGCTGCGGGTCGCGCGCCGCGGGGCCAGCGCGCCGGCTCCGGGCGCGCGCTCGCGGCTACCCGCTGCCGCGCGCGCGTGTGCCAGCGCGCCTCGGAACTGGCCGCCGGGGCCTCCTGGGCCGCCGCCGCCTCGTCGCTCGCCGACCACGCTCTCGGCGCCGCTGTCGCCCGCAGAGGAAGCGGCGTCATCGGGCGACGCGGCGCTCGCGACGCCCGCAGGTCGAGCCGAACCGCGCGCGCGATCTCCGACGCCCCCTCCAGACGCGCGGTCGATGTGCGGCAACCCACCAGCGCAGTCGGTCATGGTCCGTCTTCCCATCGTGCTTCCGACGATGCCTCCAGCGAGTCAGGAGCAATCGCGTCAGTTTCAGCGTCAAGTCCAGCAGTTCAATGAGCCTGGGCGCGTCACCTCGACCTCATCTGCCTTTCGAGGTCACGTTTCGGGATCAAGAGCCCCCAGTCCCGCTCGCGTCTGCCGCCCCCCCCCCGCAGGCGCCGCGCAGCTGCCGCGCGCCGCGCGCGGATGCTGCCCGCCAACAGAGCATCCGCGCCGAGCCCCCCGAGCGCCACGCCGCCCCCGACGCGCCGGCCTCGGGGCCCGCGGGAAGTGCCCAGCCCCCTTCGCCCGGCAAGATCCAGGCAGAGATGGCGGAGTTCACGCGGCAGCGGCGCGTCGCTGACCCAGTCCCCGACGCGCTGCTACGTCGGAGTCTCTGCTCCACCCGCGTCACGGAGTGCGCGCAGGGTCGCCTTTTTCAGGCTCGCAGGGCCATGGGCTTGTCGAGCGACGCATAGTCGCGGCGCGCCAGCCCTCCGCTCGGCGTCGGCCTGGTCACGCACGCGGCCAAGCCGCGCAGCGCGCGGGCCTCGTGGAACGCCCGAGAGCGGGCCAAGTGCCGCCGCTATCGGTCACTCACCAACGTCGGCTCGTGGCCAGGGTTTGGCCGAGACCCCCCCTCGGCCTGCGACGGGTCGGCACTCGGCGGGCCCTCTTTCATGGGCCCCGGCCGCTCGGCTGCAGGGCGCCAGCGCACCTTGCGCCGCGGCCGTCGCGCCCCCCGCCGCGGGTAGCGCGCTCCTCCTCGCCGGCACCTCTCACCGGAAGCTCTGCCTCGGTCCTCTTCTCGCGAAGCTGAGCGCGCCCAGGTTTGCGCGGCTCGCGGATCGGGTTGGAAACCGGCGCTGCCCTGTCCTTCGGCACCGCGCCCGTTCTGGACGTGGACTGGGCCCGCGGCGCCCGTCGGTTCTCGCGGGCGCGCCGCCGCGGCGCCGGGCAAGGGCGAGAACGAGGGCGCCAGCCAGAGCGAGCCCGTGCCAGATCGACGCCGACCCGCCCGAGAAAAAGAAAGCACGCGGGACAGGGGACAAGGTCAAGCGCCAGCGCGCCAGCGCGGCCTTCCGCGCGACCGCCGCCGGCGGGCCAGGCCAGCCCTCGCTCGCGGGCGGCGCCGAGGCCGAGGAGGCGGGGGCCCCCAGCACGACCAGCGAGGAGGTGACCATCGGTCGTGGAGGGAGCGGCTCCCGCAATCCGTGATTGCGGCGAGCCTCGAGGCGATCGCGCCAAAAGGTGCGCGAATCCCTCGCGGTCTATCTCCATCCATCATCTTCTCCCACCGAATTACCAGGTCAAGGCGCCCGCGCGCCTCCGCCTCGCCCTTCGCGCGGCCCCGGGGGCCATCACGTTGCCTCAGTCTCTTGGCCAGCTTTGAGGCGTCACGTCTGCGGCCCGAGGTCACCGACATTCGCTGATGCGGTCTTGAAGGATTCACGCCGCCACCACTCGCGCGCGCGCGAGCTCCTCCAGCGCCGCCCCTACAGGGGGGATATTCAGAGATATTCAAAACATAATCAGTGGACGATGTTTTGATTATTTGTTGACCATTTGGGAGTATGTTGGGGGCATTCATCATTTTCGCCCAAAATCCCCCTGTATAGGGGGGCAGGCCCGACGTAAGGCTACCCGTTAAAGAGGGCGGGCCCGCGCCCCGCCGCGCCGCCTGACCCCTAGGTGGCGACGGCGTATCTCCGCTGAGTCTAGAATGCGTTGAGGTTGGACAAATATGGTTTCCTTTGTCCTTCGTTTGTCTTTCTCCGCCAAAGCTGTCCGATCGCCCGCGCAATCCCGATCCAAAACGGATGTCCAGCCGCCGTTTGGTTTATGCGCTAGCGCGTGCGTGTATATCTCAGCAGAAGTCAAGCATTGCAAGCGTTAACTTATTGCCGCCGTATTTTCTCACGCGCAGCTTCCAGCCCCGCAATCCTCCTCTTCCTTCTCCTCCTCGCCCTCGTCGTTGTCGTCGTCCTCCACCTCCTCCTCCTCTTCGTCCTCCTCCTCCTCCTCCTACTCCTCCCTCTGGGGCCTGTGGAGCCTCTGCGGGCGCAACTCCTGGTCGAAATACAGGCACGAAATGGAACAACGGATGGACGGAAAGTGGTTCCCACGAACCCCTTGGATGCGGGGTCGATGGTGTGTCGCAACGATTTCAAGGCACTGGCCTTCCCCGTGCTTGCCCGGACAAAACTTCTCGAGGCCAGGCTCCCCTTCCTCCCTCCTCCCTCTTCCTCCCCCCTCCCTCCTTCCGAGGCCAGGCTCCCCTTTCCTCTCTCCTCCCTCTTCCTCACCCCTCCTCCTTTCCTCCTCTTTTCCACTTCGCTCCTCCCTCCCGCGCAGCCGGCGCGCCAGATCCTGTTCCTCTGCGCCAGCGGGTCGCGGACGGCCGCCGTCGACAAGGTGGGTTTTTCCTTTCCTGTTCCGCCTTCGATGTTGCGTGCCTCGACTCGGCGGCGGCGAGCGGGGGGGGGAAGTGAGAAGGAAAGGGCCCTCGCAGATGGCGGCGGGGCTTTTCAGCAGAAGCCCTCATGCCTTCCGAGAAGTCCTCTGTGTCTTCGGGGAAGGCTTCGGATTTTGTTCAGAAAGCCGGGGGGGATCCCGAGCCTTCAGCGAAGGACCGCCCCTTTTCATTCCCCCCTGGGCTCGCCGTCGATTTTCCCCTTCCCTCCTTCGATTATGTGTGACCTGACTGTTGTGTTCAACGGCCAGGCCCCCGCGCGGGCAGCAAGCCGTTGCATCTGCCTTCGCGTGTGGCCCATCAGAGCTAGCAGATAGGAGCGGAATACTACATATAAGTTGTCCCCCCCCAGGTGCACAGAGAGTAAGATCGAGTTGGCATGACACGAATGGGGGAGAGCGAGCGTCGTCGTTGTCGTCCTCCTCCGCGTGGCATTCGAACCCGAACTAAGCCTACGGGTCGGTTTGGGAGGTCGCCGCAGCGATCACGGCGGCCACAAATCGGGGCAAGTTTTTTGCCGAGTGGTATGCCCCTTCCTAGCCCCCCCACCGCTCTGCGAAACAGACGTGGCTCGCGACAGGGAGTTGACAATTTGTCCATGTGCGTCAATGTGAACAGTCATTTTTCCCCATATCCTAAGGATTGGGGTTCTTGTTATTACTCTGACGCCTCCCACTCCTCCTTCCTCCCGCCTCCCGCCTCCCTCCTCCCACTGATAATCACCAGATAAGATAAGACATGATATAAGATAAGCTAAGACAAGATAAGAGATTTCAAGACAAGATAAGAGATTTCAAGATAAGATAAGATAAGTTAAGCTCACACTCACACTCCTTCATGATCACAAAACGCTGCCAGGGGCATCATTTGGGAGCCCCAAGGGGGAGCCACCCTGGCTGATCTCACGAGCCCGTTCGCGCCGATTTTGGTGGGACGCCTCAGCTAGAATTGCCGTTTGGCGCCCCAAACATGTATCTCTTGAGAGCCTCATGGTCACAAAACGCTGCCAGGGGCATCATTTGGGAGCCCCAAGGGGGAGCCACCCTGGCTGATCTCACGAGCCCGTTCGCGCGGATTTTGGTGGGACGCCTCAGCTAGAATTGCCGTTTGGCCTCCCCAACATGTATCTCTTGAGAGCCTCATGGTCACAAAACGCTGCCAGGGGCATCATTTGGGAGCCCCAAGGGGGAGCCACCCCGGCTGATCTCACGAGCCCGTTCGCGCCGATTTTGGTGGGACGTCTCAGCTAAAATTGCCGTTTGGCCTCCCCAACATGTCTCTCTTGAGAGCCTCATGGTCACAAAACGCTGCCAGGGGCATCACTTGGGAGCCCAAGGGGGAGCCACCCTGGCTGATATCACGAGCCCGTTCGCTAGCCGCTGGTTGTGGGACGCCTCACTAGAAATTGCCGTTTGGCCTCCCCAATGTTTCGCTAGAGAGCCCTCATTGGTCACTAATCGCGGCCAGGGCATCTTTGGAAGCCCCAAGGGGGAGCCACCCTGGCTGATCTCACGAGCCCTTCGCGCCGATTTTGGTGGGACGCCTCAGCTAAGATTTGCCGCTTGGGGCGTCCCCACCATGTATCTATTGAGAGCCTCATGGTCACAAAACGCATGCCAGGCCTTCATTTGAGGAGCCCCAGAGGGGGGTCCACCAGGGGCTTCAATAGTCACCAATCGCTGCAGGGGCAAGCATTTTTGGTGCTCCCCAAGAGGAGTCGACCCGGGCCTCCTAGTCGCCAGACACTGCCAGGGGCACCATTGGGATTTAGACTCGCACCCAGACTCACTCATACACAAGCTCACTCACACTCAGATTCATTTCTTCAGAATCAGGCACACACAGACGTACCCATACTCAGACTCACCCACACTCAGGCTCACCTAACCCAGACTCAGTCAGAAGCCAGTTTGTAAGCGAGGAGAGCAGAGAGGAAAAGAGAGAGGAAGAGAAGAGAAGAACCGAGAGGAGGAGAGAAAGAGAGAGAGGAGAGGAGAGAAGAGCGGGAGAGAGCGAGAGAGAGAAGCGAGAGAAAGAAAGAGAGAGAGCGCGCGGCGCGAGCGCGAGCCGAGCGCGAGCGCGAGCGAGAGAGAGAGAGAGAGAGCGAGCGAGCGAGCGAGCGAGAGAAGAGAGAGAGAGAGAGAAGCGAGAAGAGCGAGAGAGAAGAGAGAATCCATTTATATATAATAATATATATATAGAGAGAGAGAAGAAGAGAGAGAGAGAGAAGGAAGAAAAAGAGAGAGAGAGAAAGAGAGAGAGAGAGAGAGAGGAAGCGAGAGAGAGGGAGAGGAGAGAGAGAGAGAGAGAGAGCGGAGAGAGAGAGAGGGGGAGTTGAGAGAGGAGACAGGCGAGAGAAAGAGAGAAGAGAGAAGCGAGAGAGAGAGAGAGAGAAGAGAGAGAAGAGAGAAGAGAGAGAGAGAGATAAAGAGAGAGAGATAGATAGAGATAGAAGAGAGAGAGAGAGAGAGAGGGAGAGAGAGAGGAGAGAGAGAGAGAGAGAAAGTGGAGAGAGAGGGGGGGGGAGAGAGAGAGAGAGAGAGAGAGAGAGAGAGAGAGAGAGAGAGAGAGAGAGAGAGAGAGAGAGAGAGAGAGAGAGAGAGAGAGCAGAGAGAGAGAGAGAGAGAGAGAGAGCGGGAGAGAGCGAGGGAGAGCGAGAGAGAGCGAGAGAGAGCGAGTGAGAGCGAGAGAGAGAGAGAGAGAGAGAGAGAGAGAGAGAGCGAGAGAGAGCGACAGAGAGCGAGAGAGAGCAAGAGAGAGCGAGAGAGCGAAAGAGAGAAGAGAGAGAGAGAGAGAAGAGAGAGAGAGAGATAGAGAGAGAAATAGAGAGAGAGAGAGAGATAGAGAGAGAGAAGAGAAGAGAAGAGAAGAGAGAGAGCGAGAGAGAGAGAGAGAGGGAGAGTGATAGAGAGAGGAGAGAGCAGAGAGAGAATAGAGAGAAGAGAGAGAGGAGAGAGAGAGAGAGAGAGAGGCAGAGATAGAGGCAGAGAGAGAGAGGCACAGAGAGAGAGGCAGAGAGAGAGAGAGAGGCAGAGAGACAGAGGCAGAGAGAGAGGCAGAGAGAGAGAGAGGCAGGGAAAGAGAGGCAGAGACAGAGAGACAGAGAGAGGGCAGAGAGAGAGAGAGAGACAGAGAGAGCAGAGAGAGCAGAGAGAGAGGCAGCGCAGTCACACTTAAATCCAGATTCGTCCTCACCGAGTCCCACCACCAAGGGAGCGCCAGCAAGGAGATGCACATATGGGGATCCCCACGCAGTGAATAATTTTAGGTAAGGGGGGCGATCATCATGCAATCATCCTCTCTCTCACTCTTGTCCTACTTCTTCTCTCCGCTTCTTCTTCCTCACTCTTATCCTACTCCTATCCCCCCTGTCCTCTTCCTCTCCTCTTCCTCACTCTTACGATCTTCCTCCTTCTCCTGCTCCTCTTCATCAGTTTTATCCTCACTCTTATGATACTTCTCATCTTCCGTCCTTTCTCTTGTTCATCCCTCGTATCCTCCCTCTATCCTCTTCCTGGCTCTTTGTCCTACTTCTCGTCCTCCGCTCTCCTGCACGGCAACCGCCCGAAGACTTCTTGAGGCGTCTTGCCCGCGCAAACGGCTCCCGGACTGTGCCGCCGCCTGCGTCCAGCTCTTCGTGGGGCGGTCGGCGGCCGCTGCGCCTCGCTCCGGCCGGCTTTTGGAATCCGCGCCTCGGATCCTCCCTGCTGCTCCTCCGTTCCCCCCCCTCGTCTCGCCCTCCTCTCGTCCTCTTTGCTTCGGCCTCCCCCGCATCCTCGCCCCCCTCCTCCTCGGCCTCCCCTCGCCCTCCTCTGTGCGTCCTCCTCGCCTCCTCCTGCTCCGCCGTTCCCCCCCCCCTGCCTCCTCTCCTGGCCCCCCGTGCCACCTCGTCCTCCCCTCGTCTCCGGGAGGTCCCCACGGTCGCGCCGGGCCCCAGGAGGGCCGAGCACGTCCAGGTTTGGATCCTCAGGCCTCGTCCCAACGACCTCGACCCTCGAGTGCAGTGGGGACGCGCATCGACATCGGCGGCGAGCGAGGGGGGGAAGCGAGAAGGGGCGGGCCCTCTCAGAGTGCTCGGAAGTCCCCAGGCCTTCTGAGAAGTGCTTCGAAGCCTTCCCCGAAGACGCGAGAAACTTCTCTCAGAAGGCCCGGGGGGCCTCTGAGAAGTCCCGCCGCCTTCCGAGAAGGCATTCTCCGTCTCACTTCCGCCCCGCGCTCGCCGTCGAGGGGGACGAGGGAGGAGCAGGCCGGTTGAAGAGACAAGAAGCAGCACGCTTTTCGTAATGGCACCTTGGGCTTTCTTTGCTGCGCGCGCTGCGCGAGGACTTCTCGCGGGCGTTCAGGAGCTGCTGCGTTCCAGGTGCTCGAGGTCCCCCCCCCCAGTGCACCTCGCGCGCGGGTTTTGAGGGTTGGAGTGCGTGCGAGGGTTTTTTGAGGCCGTGTTCGTCCTCCTCCTCCCTCCTCCTTCCTCCTCCTCCCGCCCCAGCGCGATCTTCGAAAAAACGTCCACACAACTATTGGCGGACCTTGACCAGGACGAGCAGTGCGCCAAAGCAGCCGCCCGGCCCCGCAGTACGACAAGCTGCTCTCTTCGAGCTGCGACGCCCTCCCGGAGAAACAGGCGCTGCAGGACTCGTGGGAGGCGCGGCGGGCAATCTGGGAGGAGGGAAACGAGGAAGGAAGATAGAGGGAGGGATGGAGAGGAGGAGGAAGAGGAGGAAGAGGAGGAAGAGGAGGAGGAGGAGGAAGAGGAGGAGGAGGAGGAGGAGGAGGAGCGAGGCGGAGAGGGAGGAGAAGGAGGATGAACGAGGGTGTGAGGCAATGGGGGGTGAGGAATGATGGAGGAGGAGGAGGAGGAGGAGGAGGAGAGCCGAGGGATGAGGATGAAAGAGGGTGTGAGGGAGTGAGAAGTGAGGAATGACGCAGGAAGAGGAGGCTGTGAGGAGGAGGAGGAGGATCAGGAGGAGGGAGGAGGGCGCTGTGGATGCCTGGTGTGATCATCGTTGGTTGTCAGTGTGTCTGAGGGGGATGGGGAAGTGGGTGAAGGAGGAGGCCGAGGGGGATGGGGAAGTGGGGAAGTGGGGAAGTGGGGGAAGGAGGAGGCCGGAAGACACAGGTGGCTCTGCAGAACACGGAAGACGCGTGCGTCCACATCGTTTTGCCGGACATCTCGCGCATGGGCGGCATCTGCGCACATGCCGTGCGTACCCGGTGTCTCGCGTGGTGGAGGTACCGGCAGAGACGGCACCATGATAAAAGATGTGGGATCCACCCAGCACGTTTCAAAGTCTGGAGATGGGAGTCCCAATTGGCATGTTTTGTACGGCGAAGTCGAATGTGATGACCCAATCCGCACCGCAGCCGGCTGGATGCAGCGGGCCCAAGACCGCGCTCGATGGAAGCAGGCAGAGAGCGCTTTCGCAGCAGCGTAGAATTCTGTCATGTATCATACCGTCGCCTCTTTGTGTGCCTCCTTTTTTGTTTTCCTGTTCTTGTTTCGCTCTTGACTCTCGGCTTCTCCGCTCTCCTTCCCTCTCCGTGGCCTCCCCCCCCCCCTTTGCCTTGTGTACCCTTGCCCTTTGTGGCGTGCGTCCTCCCTCTCTCTCCATGCTGGGTTTCTCCCCCCTGTCCCCCGTCTACCCGTCCGTCGGCCCGGTCTGTCTTTCTGTCGTCCTTTCTTTGCCCCCCTTCCTCTCCTCGGCTCCCCGTGTCCTTGCCCCCCCGCTTTTTCGTTTCACTTGCTTGTCCCGCGTTTCTTTGTCGGCCTGGTCCGACTAAGAGTCACGCGGTCGAGGCTGCTGCGCCGGCAAATCGCCGGGCATGCCATTTTCAGTGGTGGCCCCCACTGGGGCTTTCACGCCACCAAAACAAAACAGGACAGGGGGGGCCAGCAGGGCGGAGCAGGTGGAGGAGGAGAAGGAGGCATATTAGCAATAGTGATACGAAGTGAAGGAGCAGGAGGGGAAATAGTATGGGAGCGATGCGGGAGGGGGAGCTGGAAGGAGGCAGGATGTTGATGAGGACGATGTCAGGATGATGATGATGCTGATGGCGATGGCGATGATGATGCGGCTGGTGACCATTTTTGATGACCATCATTGTGATGACGATGTTGATGACGTAGTGATGGTAAACATCCTGATGGGTGTGGTGGTTTTGATGATGATGGTGCAGGCGTTGGTGCTGGTTCTGGTTTCGGTGGCGGTGCTCGCGGTGATGATGATGATGATGATGAAGATGAAGAGGGTAATGGTGCTGATGGTGGTTGTGGTGATGATGCTGATGCTGGTTGCGATATCATGGTTCTGGCGACGATTAGGATGTTGAAAACGTGCATGGTGATACTGGTGATGGTGGTGGTGCCAGGGATGTGGTTTCGATGGGGAAAATGAAGATGAGATAACAAAGGAGTATGATGAGGACGAGGACGAGCAGGAGGGATGAAACGCAGTAGTACGCGAGTGGTCCTAGTCGTGGTCGTAGTAGTAGCAGTAGTAGTAGTA